TTTTGCTCCATTTAATGAGATGAAACACAAGATTGAAGATTTAAAATAAAAATGTGGATTGAGAATAGAAGGGTTTTTGGTAAGCGTTTGGAGTAGAAAACAAGTATGGTTGTATGATCATGCAGGTGAGTGTTTTATCAAATTATTTTGGAGATGCATCTTCGGAAATATATGACATGCAAAGTTGATATAAATTTCAAAATCCAACCTCAATCCTTCTTAGATGCATCTCTGGTAAATCCATCGGTTTGCTCAACTATCAATATATTTGTTGAAAATACCCGGAGATGTATCTCTGGAATAATCTTTTATGTTGATCTTGGGTGGCACTTGTTGGATGTGTCCTAAAGTGGTGCATGGTGCGTCTAAAGATGTATCTCTGGAACTGTGAGGCATTTTTCGGTTTTTCATAGGGTGTTTTTCCACCCCACAAGATGGGATGAAATTCCTTTAAGGAATTTAGTTCCTAAATCTAAGAATTATCCGACGACCCAAATTTATCCTACCATAACCCAAACCACATTGCAATCTTTAAGACCTCAAAAGTGTGAGTAATAAAATTAATTTGATAGATTAATTAAAAAACTTTCAAGTCTATGATAAAATGATTTGTACATGTTGATTAAGTGTACCCTTGTCATTATAATAAATTGATTGGTTCGAAAGAGATAAAAAGTTGAATAAATTTGAACAGGATTGAAGTCTTTTGATTTATCTATCTCGAAGTATGAGCATGGAAGTAAAAATTGAGCAGGAACATGGAAGTACTCTAGTAAGTAGGGTCAAACTTAAACATTATTATTAAAGCATGTAAAATATTGTGTTTTCTTAAAGCCATCCTAAGATTTGAGTTAAATGAAAGGTTCAAATTTGGGGTTGAAATGATAGTTTATAATTTTATTTTTTTTATTTCAATCTTAATTTTCTTTATTTTTTAATAATTTTTTTCCTTTAATTCATTTATGTTTTTTGTAAGTTTTAATAAAGATTCTGAAGAATCGTGGAAAAGAACAATCTGAACCAAAACCATCCTAATCAAACAAAATTCATGGTATTTTATGATAGAAGTTTCATAGTAAAGCAAGAAGATGACTAACATTCAAAAAATAGAGTAAAAGGAGGAGAAAGTGGAAGAAGAGAACGATATTGGCGCTTCCAAAGCTAGAGTGGTGTTGTTCAATAAAAAATAAGAATATCATCACTCCAGAAGTCAATGTGGTGTAGTTTCAAGCATCTAGTTCTCATAACGGTGCTCTCTAGAGCTACAAAGGTTTAGTTTCTCCGATTACAAAATACTAAGTTAGCTGATAAAAAAATAGTGGTGCAATCTTGTGTCAGAGTGGTGCGATTATATGGATTTAGAATTTTTCCATATAACGTAAAAAAAACTCTTTTAGATATAAGGGCTCTGAACGCTTATGATACAAAGGCATATTGTAAAGAAAAGGAGAATGAAAATTTTACTTCATCATTACTGAATCATCCCTAATCGTCTATAAGACTGTTTTTTTCTACTGTAATTTCCATGAATGCCTTAAAGATGAATGACTAGTTCCCTTAGAATAATTTTTCTTAGATAAATTCTTCTTCAATAATGTGAGCCATGTGATAAATGTATATTTTCTTTCTTTAGTGAACATCTTCTTATAACTATTTAGTATTAATTTGTGTTTAATATTATTTTAACGTCTACGAAATTAGGGGAATCAATCTAGATAGAAATGAGAACTAATCATAAATTTGCATATTTGAATTAATTAACATTGTGGAATTGTTTATGTTTGGTAGACATAAGGCATGATCGGTTGTGACATTAGATATTTTACCCTAAAATATTTGTTAGCTGCAATTATATTCTTTAGGGTCTTTAGTGGTCACATCAAACAAAGCGGGTTACTTGACACTCATATAAGAAGACTCATTATAAGTTTAAGTTAGATTTAACTACATAAAAAGAAAAAATATTTGAATAGGTACTTAATCTCTTTCACCAGACCATTTGTTAATTGTTAGTTTAGTTATTTAGTTTATAATTAGTATACAATCAAATTAATCCAAGTTGAATTTGACTACATAAAAGAGAAAAAGATTCGAATAAGGACTTAATCTTTTTTATCATAACATTTGTTAATTATTAGTTTAGTTATTTGGTTTTATAACTAGTATACAACCAAATCGATCACTCTATGTGAACCCCCACCATTACTATTTTCGGTTTATTTTCTAATGACAAGTACTTTCACTTTCGTTTTGTAAAATTTTACACAATTCTTATGAATACGATATAAAAATTTACTCCCTAATTTCGGGTTTTTGTTGGAACAAATTATTGCATTCGTTTTTACGATCCACACTGTCCATAAACATCCCTAATAGAAAAAGTGTTCAACAACTTCACTGAATTTATGGGCTCAAAAAATATCTCAAAATACTTGAATCATCTTTTCTTGTATCTCTAATATATGAATTTTCACCTCTTTTTGATGCATACTCTTTTATTTACATATTTGTGCGGTCCAAGTGACATTCACAATATCTCACTATTGCAATGGAAAAAAAATGTCTAAGTGAAACCTAACAATTTATCAAATTCACAACATGTTTTTTTCTTATATGCATTTAGACGACTCGTGAATACATGATCTTCTAATCTATCATGAAAAATGTGATCGTAAAGTTCACATTTTACATTATATTTTTTAGTAGCATTTTCTGTTAAATTTTCGACTTGTATTTGTCACCTCTATTACAACTCAATATTAGTATGGTACTTCTCCCTCTTTCTTTTTTATCTGATTGGGTAATAATGACAATCACTTTATGTCTGATTAATCTCTCTAGGCCATATTGTTACAATTTCTTATCTATTAAATTTATGTGTAGTTGAGAATGTATCAATAATATTTATATCTCTAAAACATAATATAAAAAATTTAAAAAAAATGGAATTACTTCTTTTTAAGTTTTTTTATGAACAAATGAAAAAAAAATTTAAAATAAAATTTTCTAACAAAATAATTACATATCAGAAATGCTTCAAAACTGAAAACTTGTGTGATTGAAGAATCATCAAATTTGAAAAAAAAAGTTTGAATGTGGGAGTAATAAAATAAAACAGTGTTTTAAAAACTGAACCGGTCTGTCTGACCGGTTGAATGAGAATCGGAGAGATCAACGGTCTCGTCTAATTGCTGAATTGGATATGCTATTAAACCATTAGGAACCGGCTAAAATCGGTCATGTTAAAAACCGATGAACCGGTGATTTAAATGCATGTCTTTTTCTTTTTTCTTCATAATAATGATGTCGTTTTGATAATTTATTTTTTAAATAAAATTAAAATATAAGTAGACTTTATTCAAAACTTATTTGAAACAATTTTTCTTCGTTTGTAATCAGATATTATTCAAAATTTATTTGGATTTGTATTTTGTACTATTTTATCGTGCATGATGACTGTGTCAATAGTTTGAATTTAAAGAATGAATTTGTAAAATTATGATATTTTGAAATTTTGTAGGTGTCATGATATTTTTTAGAGACCGAGTCATCCGGTTCGATCGATTTATTAAATATATAATTTTATTTCCAGAAATTGGTTTACTCAGCCGAGTTATCCGATTTAATCGATTTAGTCATGCATTTCGACAAATAATTCAGTGGTTCGATCAATGAATCAAAGATGCAGTACCTTCATCTGTTTCATGACCGGTTCAGTAGTAAATTGAGAGTAATAAAATAAAGAGTAAATAGTTAAATTGTACAAAAAGGATGAAGTTCAGATTTTGCGTTTTAAAGATGTCAAATTGGTAAATCTTAAAATGTCCTTTAAATTTTAAAGATACATCTTTAAATATTTTTTTTAATCAAAATAAAAATGTCTCACTTATAATGTTTTTGTTAGTCTGATTTTTGATGCGTTTTAAAATAAAACTTTAAATTCTAAAAGTATTTTTGATTTTTTTACATGAAATTAATAGCAATTTATAAAGTGCGTCTAGCAATTCATTTAAGATGTATTGTGAAACATAATGTATCAAAAATCAAGCACTTCTGAATTGATCTCATCCCTAAGAAAATACAAATTTGTTGAGTAATAATTGAATTCTTCAATAAAATACTCTTTTATAATTCTCAATAACCCTCATGATTTTAAATGACGAAAAATAATTACATATTCGTTTCTTAATTATGATGTGAATTTTATCTCCATGAATATGGATATAAGAAATCAAAAACGAAAGAGAAATCTATTTTTCGTTTTTGATTTCTTATTTTTTTCCGTTCCTATTCTTCTTTTTTGTGTTATGAAATGAAAAAGGGACCTCCAAAAATTGGAAAGGATTTTTTCGTTTTTATTTAGTGAGTGAATGGAAGTATACTCTGGATCGGAGTTGTGGGAAGTACTGCTTTCTTTTTTCTACCAACTTAAAACCCCCAATTAGTATTCTTTTTATATTCTGCGTAAATTTTCTTGTTTCACAATCCATCACCACCACACCCTATCTTTTCTGTTTCTGCAATCTTCATCACTACATCGTTTACAGTTTTCTCTTTACACTTTCTTCGATTTGATTTTAGGTGAATCAAATCGAAAAAGTATAAAGAGAAAACTATAAATCTTAATTTATTTAACCTTTGATTTTATTTTATCTGTTACCGTAAACGTTCACTAATTTGACTATTGCACCTTAACATTGACGTGCATATTTTGTAATGTTAAAGGAGAAAATTGAAACAAAAGGGTTTTTACAGTCACATTGCACCAAACCCTAGTAATGGATATAGCGAAAACTCTGGAACTATGAACTTAGACGTGGAAAATATAACGATTTTTATTCAATTGATCAACAAACTTTACCAGTACTAGTTTGCAAAGCACAAGAAGCTTTTCTCTTCAGCTATTATTTACAAGCCTTTATCCAAAAATAAATACATCATGCAACACGTGCTTCAAAGTCTCACTCAAAATTACGAAACAAAAGATGAGTTTCAGTCTTCTATATGACAGTTCCACTAGGAATTAAGGCATCCTTGATTATTGTCACGATCCCGCTTTTAATGAAATAGCCTTCTGTTTCCCTAGCAGCTTCTTGAACATTTTCACTGTTAATTATCTGAGAATTGAAATCATATCTTAGATTTCCAATAGCTACTATCTAGTATCTTGTTTAGATGAACGGAAACTAAGTAAATTGAGTATTGTCAATGAAATATGGCGAAAATTGACGTAGGTACATGTGTTTACATTCAATTATTTCATTTTCTGAAGTTATTACTGATGTTAGTATCATGTATCATTGTTGTGTCAGTGTCTGTGAATCATAATTAGAAACTACAACTAGTAATGCAAATGTATGTAGTTGGATTGGATGATATATTTACCTTGACGTTTTCTCCGATTCTAGCATTTTTGTCAACAATTGCTCTTTTGATATGAGAGTTTTTGCCAATACCAATTGGAACGCTGCCTTTAGCAGCCAAAAAGCTTTTGTCAGCCTCTGTCTGGAAATCAGAAAATTTGTTGTTAGGATTATTCAATCCATATAACTTGTTATACAAGCAATGAATGAATTGGGCTTAATCTATGCATTTCAACAGTTAAGTCAAATCTTGAATGTTAAACAAAACTCCGGATAAGAAATTTAAACCGTGTTTTACCTCGTAATAATCTGCCCCCATTAACAAAGTGTCTTCAATAATTGCACCTTCTGATATGCAAGATCGCAGCCCGACCACAGAGTGGAAAATCTTGCAGTTCTATGAAACCAAAAAAATGAAATGAAAAGTCAGGTTAGTTTCTTAGAGTTAAACTCATGTAATCGTATCTTTGTTAAGAAAGGTATAGATCTCTTATTCGTCGAACAGAAACGGAACAAGTTTTTACCTTAATCACACATCCTTCTCCGATAACACTATCAGTAATATCAGCATCAAGCATCTTAGATGGAGGCAAGTATCGCGGTTGGGTGTAAATCGGAGATGAACGATCATAGAAACTGCAATCAATATCAATAAACATCATGAACAAGATGCTCTCTATCGAATACATCGACAATAAGTTGATCGAATAAAGCAAATTACTTATTTACCTGAAATCAGGCACAGGCTTTTTGGTGATTCCAAGATTTGCATTATAGAAAGCCTCAATGGTACCTATGTCTTCCCAGTAGCCATCATATAAGTAAGCTTGTACCTACAAAATTTTCACAAAATTTCTCTCAAGATCACGAGATTGCAGCTATGAAAGCTCGATTGTGAGATTATATAACTCAATCCGATAGAAGAAAACATACTCTCATTCCAACAGAAGTAGCACCAGGAATCACTTCACTCCCAAAGTCATTTGCACCGGGAAACTTGTCGCGGAGCAGGTCAAGCATCACATTTTTGCTGATAACATATATACCCATGCTAGCAATAAAAGGCATTTCTTTCGCTCTTTCATCGTCAAGACCTAAAATCGTAGTATCAACCTAATAACAGACAATAAAAACAGTAACTTTATAACCATCTGTTTCGGTATCAACCGTTGGAAAAACAAAACATACTGAATAATATAATGAATTCACCTTCATAGCTTTCAACTGTTCCCCTTTCGGCTTTTCTGAAAACTCAATTATACGCCCCTCTTCATCGATCTTCATCAGACCGAAAGCAGTTGCACGCTTTTCGTCCATTGGCAACGCAGCCACAGTGATATCAGCATCAGATTCCCTATGTGCTTGAATAAATTTCTCATAATCCATTCGATACAAATGATCACCGGCCAGAATTAAGTATTCCAAAACATTATGCTCTTCAAAAAGCCATAAATATTGCCTCACAGCATCTGCAGTACCCTGCAACAACCACATCAATTATTTTCAAATATCACTTCTAAGCATCATAAAAGCCATCAACAAACACCAAACACTCGAGATATGATGGATTGCATGCAGTCAGAGTCGTCTCAAGTTTTGGAAGTCATGTATAGTTTAGTCGCCTATTGAACCACAATTTAACCGTGACAATATTTTTAAGGTCCAATTTAGCCACGGTATAATAATTATAATCATGACAAATTTTGGATCCTGTGCAATAGTCTGTCTTGCACGATCTCAAAGACGGCCCTACATCCAGTCAATCAGGATTGAAAAACTCGAGACATGTTATAATTCTAAAGTACTAACTTTCCAAAACAAAAGATATAAAAGGTAATTGAAAACATGGTTAAGGCAATGTTATACCTGAAACCAATTAGGATTCTCAGGACTTTGCTGAGCAGCAAGGACTTCAACAAACCCCTCATTTTTGTAACCACCCAAATTACTTGCATACGCGCGAGAAAGATGTCGATTAAGAGACGCAGAATTGAATTGAGTAAGAACATAGATCTTAGATATGTTGCTATTCAAACAATTGCTAACAGGAATGTCAATGAGTCTATAGTTAGCTCCAAGAGGAACAGCTGGTTTTGCTCTCTTCTTGGTGAGTGGATAAAGTCGAGTACCAGCACCACCTCCGAGTATGATTCCAAGCACACTCTAAAATCATTCAAAATTCATTAAAATTCATCAAAATCAATTATGTGTTATTTATACAAACAAGTCTCAAACAAAATCAAAACATTCTAATATAAGATCTAGAAAAAAAAAACTGACTCTGCTAGCATCAGGATCAAGGCAAGTTTGAGAATTCTGTGAATCAGAAACAGCTTTAGGTGTAACAATCACATGCTTGCGGGTGCATCTTCCTCTTGGTGCACCACCACGTGAAACATTAATAATTTTGTCACCGGAGAGGGATGATGATGAGAATGAGAGGCTCTTTGATGAAGAAGAAGAACGTGGAACGTTGATAACACCAGCAGTAACAATTGAAGACATTGAAGAAACTGTTGTCTGTGTTTATGTTACTATGTTTGTGTTCTTGTGTGGTTTAGAACAACAAGAGTGTGTGAATTCTTGTGACTATAGAGTGAGATATTAATATTTGATATATAATAAATTTTATAATATAGTTTTAAAAGTTTGTTGTATAATAATATTTGATTGATATTTAATGTGAGATTTGTCGTTTAATAAAGGACAAGGAACATTTTGTGTGATTGATCCATCAAAGAATATTCTATTTTATTTTTCAAAATTTTTTTATTTGGTTGAATGTGCACCGTTGCTACACATTTCAACTATCATTCATTCCCATGCATTTGTCTTCATTATTTCTACATTTGTCTTGAAAAAAAAGAAGAATCAAGTCTAAAGGGTAATAATAGTATTGTTTTGGTAAAGTTTTTATTAAAAAAAAAATCATGTATGGTAAATAAGAAGAGAAGAATCAAATTAGTGAGACGGTAAATTTCATATCTCAAACCAAATCAATTAAAATGGTTCATGTTTTTTCTCTCATAAATCTGAACCAAATCAATATATTTTTTTCTTCGTTTTATTTTACTAATTTTATCTTAAAATAATATTGTGTTGATGTATTTTTTAATTATTAAATTTTACACTTTTTATTATTGTTAATTTGTTTACTTAAATAGTATAAAAAATCAAATCAAATTACTCTCTAGTACTAGTACATGGGTAGATACGGTTTACCATGTGAAATCAATTTAAATAGGGTAACTTGCAATTGTAGAAAAAGGTAGGTTGTGATTTTTAAATTTGATGTATTTTTTATATTCATAGTTGGATTAACAATGAAAAAGTTTTCTGCATAAAAAATACAATGAAAAAGTTGTACATCTTTAGCATTTGGAGAAGCTACCAAGTTTGTTGAATTACATGACATTGACTTTGAAAATTGATTGAAAAAATATTCTCCCTTAATCTAATATTTACTATCTATTAGAATAGGGAGTATGAGATAATTACCTCTCTTTTGCAATGTAATTCCATCAAATCACTTTTTAATAAAAAAATTATAAAATATATTCATGAATGCTAATAGATTTAGTTTGTAATAGTCGACAATGTATCTAATTAGAATATACTATGTAGATGTTTTCAAATATATTTTTGGAATTAATATATAAAGGTGATATTATAATTTGATTTGATTGAATTTTATGTATTTAAAAATTTCTTTATATAATCAATACAAAAGTTAACCTCAAATTTATTCTCATATACAAATTAAATAATAAATTTAAGGTAGAAAAAATATAATAATTTTTAACATAATTATTCAATTTGGTCATTTAGCAAGTAAGTTAAGTTACATTTGTTGAGTTTGTAATTCTTTTTGTCAAAGCAGTGTAACTCGACAGAAATAATGATTAGTTAAATTTAGTCTAATGTGTTAGCGTGTTGAATTGCTTAGTGCGTTGAATTACTTAGTGTGTCGAAGTGTCGAAATAGGTTGTTTCCCACAATATTTCGACTTAGACTTATTTTAGTAATGTTAGCTATTTTGGGATTTCATAGTTTTGAACTTTGGTTTTGGGTCCAAGCAAACCTAAATCTATAAATAGGGATAAACCCTTATTTTGTAAAGAACTCATCATTTTTGTAATTCACAGTTTGTAGTTGCAAGTGAAATAGCAGAATTTTCACAGTTTGTAGGCAAAGAGTTCTCTGCAGAAAAATTGTTCATCTTCTTTATCTTCAATGTTTACTTTTTTTCTTTCTTTCTAAATTTTTCTTTCATTGTCATTACGCGGGTTGAAACAATCTTGAGATCAAGATTGATTGAGTGAAATTCTCCATAGGTTGTGGTTGAATTTCCAACATCTGGTATCTAGAGTTCCGGTTACGATTCAAGGAAGGAAAATCGTGATGACGATGAATCATCCAAACAGTCACTTTCCGGCAAACCTTCAAATTCTCAAAAAAGATAATTATGAGAATTGGTGCAAGCAGATTAAGGTGATTTTCTGTTATCAAGATCTTTGGGATCTTGTGAAGGGAGGAGTAGCACTGCTTGCAGAAAACACGACGGATCAAGAAAAGGCTGCATTCAAAGAATTGAAGAAAAAAGATTATAAAGCACTCTTTATAATCCATCAATGTGCAGATCCAGATAATTTTGAAAAGGTTGGTGATGTAGAATCAGCTAAGGAAGCGTGAGAGATTCTTGAAAATTTGTTTAGAGGCGTAGAAAATGTGAAAGATGTGAGGTTACAAACTCACAAGAGAACCTATGAATAACTTCAGATGGAAGAAAGTGAAAGTATAGCAGATTTCTTCACTAGAGTTACAAACTTTGTGAATCAAATCAAGGTATATGGAAAAGTGTTGACATCAAGATCAGTTGTTACAAATATCTTGAGGTTGTTGGCTCCAAAGTTCGACCACGTGATCATAGTCATATAAGAGTCGAAATACTTGTCAACATTGATGAAGGAAGAGCTTCAAGGGACGCTTGAGTCTCATGAACAAAGGATGGTTGTGAGAGCTGCAGGAAAGTCGAAGAGTGATATGGCTTTACAGGCACGTCAAAAAAGGAAAGGAAAGGCAAAGAAAGTTGGAATGTCAACAAAGGTAAAGGAGGCTACAACAATTTGACTGGTCCAAATCAGCAGGAAGGAAACTGGTCGAGTTAGAGAAAACCATGGAACCAAGGCAACCAAAGAGGTGGTGTTGCAAGTAGAGGAAAAGGTGGTGGACGAAAGCCTGAAAAAAAGTCACATTCAGTGTTTAAATTGTAAGAAGTATGGTCACTACTTAGTAAATGTCAAGAAAAGAAGAAGAATCAAGAAACTGATGCAAAAATGGCGAAGCATGAAGAAGAAGAGATGTTGCTAGTGGTCACAATAAAAGACAAAGAGAGATTCCAGGATCAGTGGCACTTGGACTCAGAATGCTCATCACACATGACTGAAAGAAAAGATTGGTTTGTCAACATGAAACCCTCGTCGAAGAATATGGTGAAATTTTCAAATGATAATATTCTAGCAGCTAAAGGTATTGGCGATGTTTTGATTATGAGTAAATATGGCAAGAGGTTAACAATTTCCAATGTGTTGTGCATACCAGGCATGAAGAGTAATTTTCTCTGTATATGGCAGCTAGTCGAAAAGAACTACAAGGTGCCGATCAAAGACAAGATGATGAGAAATCTCAACGCAGGTGGTAGGTTGATCTTGAAGACTCCAATGTCTCAGAATAAGACCTTCAAGATTGAACTGAATATGATGGAGCACAAGTGCCTAACAAATTCTGCCAGCAGAGATGCGTGGTTATGACATTTTCGACTAGGTCATCTCAACTTCAATGACATTAGAGAGCTAAAGAGAAGAAATATGTCTTCAGGATTACCTGAAATCGATATTCCAAGTGAAGTCTGTGAAGAGTGTGTTTAGTCGAAACAACACAAGAATAGCTTCGACAAGGATGCAGGAAGGAAATCGAAGGAAATTCTGGAAGTCATATACTTTGATGTATGTTGTCTAATCCAGGTTGATTCAATTGCAGGAAACAGATACTTTATCACGTTCATAGATGATTACAGTCGAGAGATATGAACATAATCATCATGAACATGGTGAGAAGTATGTTAAATGGAAAGCATTTACCCAAAGAACTATGGGGAGAAGCGGTTTCGACAATAACATACATATTAAACAGATGTCCCACGAAGAAGCTTGAAGGAATCACACCAGAAAAATGTTGGTTTGGTGTTAAGACTAGCCTCAGTCACTTGAAGGTGTTTGGATCTATAGCACATAGACAAGTGTTAGATCAGTTGAGAAGAAAACTTAATGACAAGTCGAGTCAAATGATCCTGATAGGATATCATTCTACAAGAGGATACAAGTTGTTCGACCTAGTGAATAAACATGTACTGATCAGCATGGACGTGATCATAGATGAGCTTAAAGAATGAGATTGGACTGAGAATGTCAAGAAGGATCCAGTGAAAATATCTTGTGAAGAACCAGCCACTGAAGTCGAAAGTGAAGTTGGCCCAAGCAGACCTCGGCGAACAAGGCACCTGCCTGCAAGGTTGGAAGAATATGTGATTACATCAGATGATATGGTCGATGAAGAAGGTGAGCTGGTACGCTATGATTTCTACGCAGATGTTGAACCAGTCAATGCAGCCGAGGTATTGAAATATTAGAAGTGGGTGAAAGCAATGAATAAGGAGTTAGACTCCATCGAAGTCAACAATACCTGGTCAATTATCTATTTGCCTCAAAGAAAGAAGGTAATTGATCTGAAGTGGGTTTACAAGGTGAAGGTGAATCCTAAAGGAGAAATAACTTGACACAAGGCGAGACTTGTGGCAAAAGGATTTCTTCAGAAGGAAGGAATCGACTTGGACGAAGTTTTTGCACCCATTGTTAGTATCGAAACAATCAGATTAGTTGTTGGTCTAGTAAATATGAACAATTGGCACACATGTCAGATGGACGTGAAATATGCATTCTTTAATAGCCCCTTAAACGAAGAAGTTTATGTTGCACAACCAGCTTGATTTGTGGAACGAGGCAAATAAGAAAGGTGTATAGGTTGCATAAAGCCTTGTATGGACTTAAGCAAGCTCCAAGAGATTGGAATAAGAAAATCAACAACTTCTTAAGGGAGGAGGAAGTTGTGAAGTGAACGACTGAGCATGGAGTGTACGTAAGAAGAAGCAGTAGTGAACTACTTATAATATGCCTCTATGTCGATGACCTGTTGATAACAGGAAGTTGCAAAAAGGAGATCGAAGACTTCAAACCTAACTTGAGTGAGGGTTTGAAATGTCAGACTTGGGAAATCTCTCATATTTCCTTGGCATCGAATTCTACAAGATTAGTAGAAATTTGATGATGCACCAAAGAATATATGCATACAAAATACTCAAGAGATTTGAGATGCAAGATTGCAACCCAACTTTGACTCTAGCTGAGACCAGATTGCAACTGTCGAAGGATTCAGATGAAGATGATGTC